AATGTTATTTCATAGTTTTATGAAACTGCTTTTTTCATTTTAAAGTTGAGATGGGCTTAGAGAAGCAATGCTGTCTAGTACAAAATGATTCCTCTTTCTGGTTCCCTCATTTAGCCTGAGGCCTTATGAGTTCCTTTTTTGTCTCAATCATATTAAGAGTATGAATTTTCTATAACTACAAAGCTTGGGAGAGGTGGTCTAAATTCAAACCCAAATTCTAACTTCAAATCTAGTTATCTCTTTATTAACTGTTTCCCTCAACTTCAGTTTCCTTAACTGTAAAATGGGAATAATAATGTCTGTCTTATCTGCCCTAAGGATAAAGATGGTAATCACCTGAGGGATTAATCTGTGTGATCTCACATGTAACTAAAACACACTAAAGATCAGGGGAATATCTGTATTTGTTCATTTTTGGAGGACAATATTAGTCTCACAATTCAAAGGTTTTCTTTTTTTTAGGTAATAGGAATAGACCCAGGATTTGCTAGATCCTAAACTCAGTAATAATTTAGTTTACCTTTATAGGTTTGGGCTTTGAAAACTATATCTAGTCTGTTTTGTTTTCTTATTTTATTTCAAACTAGTAAATTATTACCAGAATAGAAAAGTTTTAGGTGCAAAGAAAACCATTGGTTCTCTCTTCACATGGTGCCACATTTTTTATTTTTAAAATATTCACCCTGAAACGTGATTCAAGTTGATTTACTTATTTAATTTTTCTAATTTCTCTCTAGAACTTTTCCTTCTGTCTTTTTAAAAAAAATAATTCCCACATTGTCTCTTTAGTAGTACTTTCGTCCTTTTCCTTTTTTTTTTTTTAGGCATTTGGACAATGACTCTGGGTACAAAACCATAAGAAATTTTTTATTTGTTTTAAATTCAGTGGATACCATTACCATAAATATGTTCAATATGAATTATGCTTAGAATGTGGCAGGTGTATAATAGATAGAAGCTTAGAGTAGAATAGCAATGATTTGATTTTCTGTGATTCTGAACATCACTAAAGTGTGCTACCAGGGTTAGCCAAGAGAGAATAAGATGTAATTGCTTGCATAAAGTGATAATATCTTCCCAGGACATCTCCTGAATACCAATGAAGGCAGATGATTTCAGGGAGAGAGGCATTCCTCACTTGAGAGATGAGAGAGATCAAATAATGGTAGTAGTTAAATGAGACTAAAATGTAGCATTTGTAGCTTCATGTATGCTGACCGTTGTTTGAAGAAGTTCTTCAGATAAAACATTACTTACTCTGAAATATTCTATAAGAATGTTTATTTATTTAAAACTCAGCAAGTCCTCATGTATGTTTCATAGAAATTGCATAGAAATGATATAGACTTCTTATATAGAAAATCAAAGCATGATTTTTTAAAAAGAGATACTTTTTTTTGGAATTGTCAAAAACTGAAAGTCTGTATGTTCATCAATAAGTAAGTGGATAAACAATTTGTGTACATTACAAAGTAATACTGGTTAGCAAAAAAAGAAATAAGCCACTGATACATGCAACAGCGTGTATCATGGATGAATCTTTAATATATTATGCTAAGTGAAAACAACCAGTCTCAAAGTGCTGTATACTAAATGGTTCGTTTTATGTGACCGTCTGAAAAAGGCAAAACTACCAGAAGAGAACACAGACTGGTAGTTGTCAGTGGGGCTACAATGAGGTGTGCAGGAATTCTTTGGAGTTATGGAGATGGTTTATATCTTGATTGTGGTGATGGGTACATGACTCTGCATTTGTCAAAATGAACAGGATGTAACTAAAAAAGAAAAGAAAAGAAATAATATGGGCTTACGAAAGAGAAACACCGGATCCATTTTACCGTTGTAAGAATTACACTCTAAGGATAAGACTTATACTTAAAATGTGGGAGAAATACCAGAAAATTAGCACATTGATTTTAGTTTCATTATTAATTCCTTTTTCATGTAACATTTTCACTCCTCTCCACAATCTCCTTTTATGTAATAATTTACACTTGATTATTTCTTCAGTAATTACTAAAGAAGAAAAGAAAATCAGCTTTCTGTAATAAGACTGAAAATTACCTATACTCACTTGAGAAGTACTCGTTTGGTTATCTCCTACTGAATGTATCCATTACTCTATTCTCATGTCCTTTTACTAGCAGACAAATGATAATTTATTATTGGGAAAATTAAATGAGACAATGTTTATAAAATACCTGGCACATACCTATACTCGGTTTTTTTAAGTGTTGTAAATATAACTAACAGTTAAGTTGCTTGTCTTTATCTCTCAGTGTTGATCTTGTTTTGAAAATATGAGAAGAGTGAATTTTACTAAGTTGCCGAATTTGCTTTATTCTTTGTGAATCTTAGTAGATGAATTTTAGTTATCTTTTTTAATGCACCCATGATGTGAATTTTATTGAATGATACTTCTCAGCTAGTCCCTGTATCTGCACATAGAATGAAATAAAGGCATGTCAGAACACATGAACTATACCTAGATGATAGGTTAATAATTTTTTAGGCATTTTAGGTTGATAATTTATATGACGTGATGTTACAGTATAAATATTCAGCTCAAGTTGCTTTTGATAAAGAAAAAGTTTTGTGGAAATAGTTTAAATGTGAAAATGTGATTATATCAAAGCCTGGCTATTCAGCAGAATCACGTGTGGACTATTTTAAAAAATATCAATTTTGGCCAGGTGCAGTGGCTCACACCTGTAATTCCAACATTTCGGAAAGCCAAGGTGGGTGGATCACCTGAGGTAAGGAGTGCGAGACCAGCCCGGCTAATGTGGCGAGACCCCTGTCTCAACTAAAAGTACAGAAGTCAGCCAGGCGTGGTGGCAGGCACCTATAATCCAAGCTACTCAGGAGGCTGAGGCAGAGGAATTGCTTAAACCTGAGAGGCAGAGGTTGCAGTGAGCCAAGATTGCACCCTGCACTACAGCCTGGGCAACAGAGCGAGACTCCATTTCAAAAAAATAAATAAAATTTAAAAAATAATAACTTAAAAAATACCAATTTCTTTTCCTACCATTACCTTTCTAAGAGAAGCAGCTAAACAGTGATGTCCTGGTATAAACCAGCTCTTGGGTGGGAGTGGGGATGAGGCATGGATTTGTAGTGTTTGCTGATTTCCATGCTGTAAATATTTCCACCATAGCCAATTGCAAACTAATAAGATGATAACACTAAATGTGGAGTTAGGAAAAGATATACAGTAGCACAGCATTATACAGTATTTCCATCATACAGGTACAGTAAATATATATAACCTTGAGAGAGTAAATAATAGCCAAAATTAATAATTAAACAGTAATGCTTTTTATGTTACCTTTATTTTAATGTAACTATTTATAAAGTTATGTAAGTTAATTTTTAATAAAGACTGCGTTTGATAACCAGCTTCCAGAGTTTCTGAAAATTTAGCAGTTGGCTCTCATGAGCCGATGAGAACTGATGTTCACACATCCCTGAAGCTCCGGGGTATCTATTTCTTTCAACCAATTGGTTGCAAGTAATTTGCCAACCAGTTGTTTTTCTAACATACAGATCTGATCCTAAAGCCCATGGAGGCATTCCGCAGTCAGACCCAGATGGGTCTTTTTCACCCTTGTTTTAAATCATACCTTTCTCTCACATCCTCTCTGTGTCATCTACATTCAGTGTAGATTACTTCTAACTTCTCAGACATGCCTTGCACTTTCCCCTGCCGCCTTCTTATCTGCCTTCTCAATACCTTCCTTCAGCCTCGAATGGCCTTACCTCATTTGCCTGACTTTTGCAGTACTATTTATTTATCCTTCTAGAAATAACTCAAATGCTGCTTCCTTTTACTTCCTACTGTTGGAAACATTCACATTTGCCTTGGTCCTCTCATAGTCCATTGTTTATACTTCATTTTGAGTTCGAATTTATCAATAACGAATGTCTGTTTCATGCTCTAGATTATAAATTTATAAAGGGTGCCTTTGAATCATACTGTACTTAACATATTAATATAATCTAAAAGTGGTTAATAAACACTTGCTTATTTTAACAGAAAAAAAATAAGAGCAATGCATGATATATCCTTTGCTTTCTATTCCTTTAAGAAACTGACCAAAATTTAAACTTTTTTGAATTAGATGTTTTATACCTTTTTTTCCTAGTGATGCTGAACCATATTAGTAGTTACATACCTGTATCACACCTAGAGATGTTCCACGGTGACTCTAGAGCTTACCAAAGAAGAATTTCATTAGATAGTGTATGAAGCAAAAATGATCAAATTGTGTAACTATATTTGTAAATCATTATTCTCATTTAGTGTGCCTTATAGTATTTTCAGCATAAAGCCAAAAGTTATAGTATTCCCCGCAAATTAGGCCTTTGTATCAGTAAATACCCTCTAAGAAAAGCTAAAATATCTTACTTTGCTTTGTGACTTGAGAGAAATTTGCTTTCATATATATCCTTAAGGGTAAAATCCTTATCTGTTGTTTTCGGGCATTTTATCTAGACTTAGAATTATCTGGTTGCCATCACAGTAAGTATTGACAGGATGTAAGTGTATAAAGGAAATCTAAAGTAAAAACGATCCAAGAATTTCTTGAAGCAAATGCAGCACATTCCTTGTTAGTGGTGTTTCAGGAATTTTTTTCATATTTTACCCTAGGCTGCCACCTGATGGCAAAGGTTAAAATTACATATTTTGTAACATTCAACGCCTTCATTGCAATTATATGGATTTTTTTTTTAATGTATTCAGCATAGAGCCTCCAGAACTTCTATACATTTGTGCAAGTGTTATGTATTCAATAAACGTTTGATGATTGCTTTGGTACTCAGGGAAATCATGTTTATTATTTAACCTTTGTTAGATAGGGATCTTCCTACGATTTGTTTAAAGCTTTGCTTTGTTACGGAGCTGTTTTAAGAATCTGTGTTTTAATTAGTGTTATTTAATGAAGAATTTTACTTAAATGTAGTAATTTTTTCTTTTCCCTTTCCCTTTCTTTCTTCAGAACGAGGTCACTCGGACACCATGGTGTTCTTTTACCTGTGGATTATCTTTTATATCATTAGTTCCTGCTATACTCTCATCTGGGATCTCAAGATGGACTGGGGTCTCTTTGATAAGAATGCTGGAGAAAATACTTTCCTTCGGGAAGAGATTGTATACCCCCAAAAAGTATGTATAAAGACTGTCTGTGTTTGTTTAAAAAAACAAACGGCCAGGCGCAGTGGCTCACACCTGTAATCCCAGCACTTTGGGAGACTGAGACGGGCAGATCACCTGAGGTCGGGAGTTCAAGACCAGCCTGACCAACATGGAGAAACCCCATCTCTACTAAAAATACAAAATTAGCCAGGTGTGGTGGTGCATGCCTGTAATCCCAGCTACTCGGGAGGCTGAGGCAGGACAATCTCTGGAACCCAGAAGGTGGAGGTTGCAGTGAGCCAAGATCACGCCGTTGCACTCTAGTCTGAGCAACAAGAGCAAAACTCCATCTCAAAAAACAAGCAAACAAACTTAGGTATACCACTAGCTAACCCTGTTGCAGTACTGACCTGAGCTGTTTACTACATGCTAGGTACCATAGGAAATAAAAACAAAGTAAATTTCTCATTCTCAAGGAAAGCCATTAACTATGTTCAGATAAGTAAACAAATTGCAATACCATGTGATAAAGACTAGAATAGAAGAATAAATAACTTACTGTAGTTTGTGATGTTTTTGAACATGAAATGCCCTCAGTCTGAAACACTGTCTCTCCTTTTTGTCTGCTTTGTAAACACCTGTTCTTCCTTCTTTTTTTATTTTATTTTAAAGATGGGGTTTCACCATGTTGGTCAGGCTGGTCTTGAACTCCTGACCTCAGGTGATCTGCCCGCGTTGGCCTCCAGAGTGCTTGGATTACAGGCATGAACCACCATGCCCGGCCTCTTCCTTCTTAAAAGTCAGTTTGAGTGTTACTTTCCTCCAAGAAGCCTTTTTAAATTTTTCCTAGCATAGTTGGCTATTCATCTAAATCTTTTTTTACCCTATATAAACTACCCTTATACCAGTTATTACAATGTGTTAAAATGTGTTTAGGTATCTGTATTCTTCACTGCCCAGCATAGTTCCTGATATATAGTAGACTTAATGTTTCTGAAATGAATGAATAAATACATGACTAAATGAAAAGTGTTATGAAAACACAAAGGAGAGGGAGTGCCTGACTCTGCTTGATTGCATCAAGAAGATTTCTTTCATTTATTTCATCTAATATTTGTTAAAATCAAGTGCCATTTCAATCAGAAAATATAGACTATTTTTTAGGAATAATTCTTTAGGAATTAACTTAGAATTTTATCTATGTATCAATAAAAAGACAAGAGGGGCTGAATTAAGAAGTCAAAAAATACATTTACTCAGATATTTTAGTAAAGGATAAATACCGTGATTAGACCTTGAAAGAAATTAAACAATGAACTGGTAATCCTGAATGTGAATTATAACCCCAGCTCTTTCACTTACTAGCTATATAATTTTCTGCAACTAGGCATGGTGGCTTACACCTGTAGTCCCAGCACTTTGGGAAGCCAGGACAGGAGAACTGCTTGAGTTCCAGACCAGTCTAGACACATCTTAGTGTGAGACCCTGTCTCTACTAAAAATAAAAAAATTAAAAAAAATTAGCTGTGTGTGATGGCACACGCCTGTAGCCCCAGCTACTTGGGATGCTGAGGCAGGAGGCTCTCTTGAGCCCAGAAGTTCAAGGCTGCAGTGAGCTATGTTAATGCCACTGTACTCCAGCCTGGGCAACGGAGCAAGACCCTGTCTTAAAAAAAAAAAAAAAAAAAAAAAAAGTCAAATATTTGGAATAAAGTTCATCCAGCTTTAAAAGTGTGGAATCCAGTGGAGCATCATTAAAAATTTAGAACGCAGGTATATGAACCTTCAAATCAGGTTCTTAGGGATTAACAGTTCTTAAAATCAGTTCTTAGGAATGCATAGCATTAAGCACCACATCCCAGGTCCAGAAACAATTTTTGTTCTTTATATTCAAACTTTTCTGTGTATCTTAATCTCAGCATAAGTGTATTCCTCCCAGAAGACTTCCACATTTTTGGTGACATCAGCTCCCACTTTGGTCAATGGTGTATAGCTTAAGACTGACTCTGAAAGGCACATGAAATTGCAGTTCTTCAGTTAAGCCTAATAATAAATAAAGTGAATGTGGATTTACCCAAAAATTGTATTATCACTATATTGGGAGGATGGGAGAGGAAACAGTGAGCCATGTGAATGTGTTAAAATCCTCATAATAATCCCATTAAATTTATCATAATCAGCTATCAGTGAATAATGTCTAAAATTGAGTAATCAAGACATAACACTGTACACATTTTAATATATGGAAGATAAGTAGATGACATAGCTACAAATTTTGAAAATGTTTTGTCTCTAGAGATGGAAAGAGAAGGTGGCCAGGGGACTCTTTATTATTATTATTCTTTTTAATTTAAATAATAGCATTTCACAATGACTGGTACTACTTTGTTTAAAAAAATTTTAAGTAAAATGAGTATTATGGCTTAATACATAGTAATTCCCCTTCCCAAAAGAGTTCCCATTCTTTAAATACATGTATTTAAAGAGCTAATTTCCTTGAGATTAATAATGAGCAAATCTATGAATTATATCGTTCTGGTCTATTGGCAATTAGTGTACTTAAGACTTTTGTATAGCAAAAACTGGACTGGCCTCCTAAATCCTGGGTGCTGGTACCTGCAAGTATAACCTGAGCACCACCGTCCCCATGTAAAAATAGAACATTTCTTAAATTCAACCATGGTTGTGAAATCCAAGCTTAATTTCATTTACATTAAAAAGCAAGGCAAAACTTTCTTCAAATAGAGAATAAGGCAACTGGAAAATAAAATACAAATAACACAGTGAGTAAATCTGCTGATCTTTTCTGATATTAGCTATTAAGTCTGCTGTACCTGTTAGAATGTAATCTCAATTGATCAAGAATCTTACCCAGCTTATATTTCTGGGCCCTAGACGGAAGCCTGGTATAGTGGCAGTGTGGCAGTGAAATATGTTTGTTAATGATTACTGAAATTCAGTAATACTTCATTTTGGATACTATACTATTTAAGGAAAAACTAAATTGGTAGAAATAGTTCTAAAATATAACTTTCCTCTTGAACCTGTGCTGATTGATAGGACATGTGTGAGTCTTGTTGCTCATTGGTATGCCTGTTTATGAGAAATGTGATGGGAAACATACTCAATTTTTTCATTATTTCTCAGGCCTACTACTACTGTGCCATAATAGAGGATGTAATTCTGCGCTTTGCTTGGACTATCCAAATCTCGATTACCTCTACAACTTTGTTGCCTCATTCTGGGGACATCATTGCTACTGTGTTTGCCCCTCTTGAGGTTTTCCGGTAAGCAAACTACTGAAAAGTTTATTAAGGATTCTTTTTCACCTAAAAGACACCCAATACTTACAAATTAGAATTTATTATGACTTATACTTGAGAACCTTAAATTTTCCAACTGTTCTCAAGTTTCTCATGAGCTTTAGAATTAGAAAATCCCACTTGAAGGACTTAGAGGTTAATTCTCACAGAGTTAAAATAACCATTGATGATGACGTAAAAGCTTTTTTAGAACTGGGTTCCGTTGACAGGATAAGTGGAAGTTGGGAGGTGAATGGCTTCAAACAGAAATTGAAATCTTTGGAGAATCACTTTTTGCAGTTTGGCAGTCTGAGTTATTCAGACCAACCTTCTCACCGAAAACGATAAAAATGCTAGATAAAATATGTTTAAATCTGGCCAGGCGAGGTGGTGCACGCCTGAAATCCCAGCACTCTGGGAGGCTGAGGTGGGCGGATCACTTGAAGTCAGGAGTTCAAGACCAGCCTGGCAAACACAGTGAAACCCCGTCTCTACTAAAAATACAAAATTAGCTCGGTGTGGTGGTGCATGCCTATAATCCCAGCTACTTGGGAGGCTGAGGTAGGAGAATTGCTTGAACTCAGGCATTGGAGGTTGCAGTGAGCCAAGATCACACCATTGCACTCCAGCCTGGGCAACAAGAACAAAACTCCATCTCAAAAAAAAAAAAAAAAAAAAAAAAAAATTAGCCAAGCATGGTGGCACCTGCCTGTAGTCCCAGCTACTGAGGAGGCTGAGGTGGGAGAATCACTTGGACCTGGGAGGAAGAGATTGCAGTGAGCCAAATTGAGACACTTCACTCCAACCTAAGAAACCATATCTCAAAAACAAAAGTAAAAACAAAAACCTGTTTCACTTATATTAACAGAATAAAGGGGAGAAAAAGAACAATATAGGGCCGGGCGCAGTGGCCCAAGCCTGTAATCCCAGCACTTTGGGAGGCCGAGGCGGGTGGATCACTAGGTCAAGAGATCGAGACCATCTTGGTCAACATGGTGAAACCCTATCTCTACTAAAAATACAGAAAATTAGCTGGGCATGGTGGTGCGTGCCTGCAATTCCAGCTACTCAGGAGGCTGAGGCAGGAGAATTGCCTGAACCCAGGAGGTGGAGGTTGCGGTGAGCCGAGATCGCGCCATTGCACTCCAGCCTGGGCAACAAGAGTGAAACTCCGTCTCAAAAAAAACAAAAAACAAAACAAAAAAAAAAAACATATCATTTTGAATAGTATTCGAATATATCAGATACACACCTAGGAATAAGTCTAATTAAATTAAAAGCTGTGTAGGTGTGGGAAAATCGACAAGCCAGTTCTGTAATTTATATGGAAATACAAAAGGTCAAGAATGGCCAAGACTATCCTGAAAAGAACAGTTAAAAGACTTAACAGTCTCAGATACCAAGACTGATGATATAGTTACAGTAAGGCAGTGTGTGGTATTAGTGAAAGGATAGACAAATAGTTCCCTAGAACAGAATAGGGAGTACAGAAACAAATAGGTACATACCTTGATACTTCCTGATTTATGACAAAGGTGGCTACATAACAGTGGAAAAAGAGGGCCTTTAATAAATAATATTGAGTCAACTCCATATTGGATGTTGGATATCCATATGGAAAAAAATAGTTCCCAGCTCCTACTGTATACTGTGTGCAAAATCAATTCCAGATCGATTGTAGAGCTAAGGATGAAAAGTAAATCAATGACCTCTCCGGAATTAACATAGGAAAGAACCCTAAAGGTGGTTTTCAGTGTATGGTAATGTTTTTCATATTTCTGGGTGGTAATTACACAGTGGGTTCCTTTATGATATAATTATCATGCACTTATGATTTGCATACTTTATATATGTGTGTTATACTTCTATTGAAATGCTTACCTTTTTTAAAAAATAAAAAGGCAAATTAGTGAAAGAAAAAGGGACTAACTTCAGAAAAGTGGCAGACTGACAGCTGACTTCTCAGCAACAGTAAAAGAATCATTAAAATGAAATCTTCAGGCCGGGCGCGGTGGCTCAAGCCTGTAATCCCAGCACTTTGGGAGGCCAAGGCGGGTGGATCACGAGGTCGAGAGATCGAGACCATCTTGGTCAACATGGTGAAACCCCGTCTCTACTAAAAATACAAAAAACTAGCTGGGCGTGGTGGCGCGTGCCTGTAATCCCAGCTACTTAGGAGGCTGAGGCAGGAGAATTGCCTGAGCCCAGGAGGCGGAGGTTGCGGTGAGCCGAGATTGCGCCATTGCACTCCAGCCTGGGTAACAAGAGCGAAACTCCGTCTCCAAAAAAAAAAAAAAAGAAATCTTCATTAAAAGGAATCATTAAAATGAATTTTCAGTGTGCTGAAAGAAAATAATTGCTTACCTAGACTCTGCCTAGTGAAGATATCTTTCACAAATAAGATGATGTAAAGATATTTTCAGATAGGTGTATAACATTCCTCTGAGTCAGGATGGGCAAACACTGCCTGGTAAAATAAGATAGAAGCTGGAAAAGGAAAGATAAGCGTGAGAGAGAATGACTCTGGAATCCACCTGCTGTCAGAGTTCTCTCCAGACCAGTGTTCCTTCCCTTCTTCACCTCCCTTAATGCCTAGGCCTGCCACCTGAACTCTCCAACACTGCCACCATCTTCCCCTACCCACTTCTTTCTCTTTCATGTGTGCTGCTTCATCATATTTTTAAAATAAATTCCAAGCCGGGTGCAGTGGCTCACAGTAATCCCAGCACCCTGGGAGGCTGAGGAGGGTGGATCACCTGAGGTTAGGAGTTCAAGACCAGCCTGGCCAACATGGCAAAACCCAATCTCTACTAAAAATACAAAAATTAGCTGGGTGTGGTGGCGCACATCCGTAATCCCAGCTACTCGGGAGGCTGAGGCAGGAAAATTGCTCCAACCCAGGAGGCAAAGGTTGCAGTGAGCCAAGATTGCATCACTTCACTCCAGCCTGGGTGACAGAGTGAGACTCCATCTCAAAAGAAGAAAAAGAAATTCTAGTTTTAAAAAAAATACCTTGTGACTATTTTATGTCTTTTTAAAAAATCATTTGCTTACTAATTAAATCAAATGTTCTATCCCCATTTAAAAAATAATCGTCTTTTTAGATCTGCTTTCTCCCTCCAACTATTGCCCGTCTTTCTGCTGTCCTCTGTAGCAAAACTCTGCAAGAGATGTCTGCACTTGCTGTCTCTGCTCTCACTTCTCTACCATTCTCTTTTTCATTCAATTCAAGGATGTATTCCCAATACTCAAACCACTTTTGTTAATAATCTATAATAATAATAATACTGTAGTGCCTACTGCGTAGCTCATAGCATTCTAAGCCTTCTACCTTTAGTAAATCCTCACAACAGTCTTTGGAGGTACGGACTGTTATCGTGCCTTTTACTGATGACACTGAAGCATAGGTTAAGTCACTCGTCCAGAGTCATCACAGTGAGCAAGTGGTACAGCCATGATTGGAATCTAGACAGTCTTCCAGCGTCTGTGCTTTTAGATCATACTGCCTAGTTCGCTAAATCCCCTGGTCAGTTTTCTATACTTACCTTACTTTACTTCCCAGCAAAGCACTTTCTTCACTTGACTTCTCAGAAACTACATTCTCCTGTCTCATGCTATTCCTTATCCACTCCTTTACTGGTTCTTCCTCCTCCTCCCAAACTTTTAAGTGTTAGTGTTCCAGGATTTAATCTTCTGCCCTCTTCTCTCCTCTAGTTGTATTACTCCTAAACCTATTATTTGAAACGCTGTCTTTTTTTTTTTTTTAAACTTTTTTTTTTTAAATTGCATTTTAGGTTTTGGGGTACATGTGAAGAACATGCAAGATTGTTGCATAGGTACACACGTGGCAGTGTGATTTGCTGCCTTCCTCCCCATCACCTGTATCTGGCATTTCTCCCCATGCTATCTCTGCCCAATTCCCCAACCCCGCTGTCCTTCCCCTATTTCCCCCACAACAGACCCCAGTGTGTAGTGCTCCCCTCCCTGTGTCCATGTGTTCTCATTGTTCAACACCCACCTATGAGTGAGAACATGCGGTGTTTGATTTTCTGTTCTTGTTTCAGTTTGCTGAGAATGATGGTTTCTCTTTATGCCATCTCCAGCCATAAACTTTCCCTTGAACTGCAGACTCTCATCCATCTCTCTACTGAATTCTCACATATCTAATGGGTAGCTCAGACCTAACAGGAACAGCCAGGCATCTCTGATCTTAGTAAACGCTGTCACCTTTCACTTAAATAGAATACCCTAAGACCACTCACATCCCATGTTAATAAGTCCTTTCAGCTCCGTCTTTATAAATAAATCCTTTGTCTGGCTGCTTCTCATCAATTCTATTACTACCACCTTTAAATCGCCATCATCTCTTTTCTGAACTGCTGCAACAGCCCCTCTAATTGGTCTGTCTTTAGCTGTTCTTGTCTCCCTTTGATTTCTTCACCATTGAGCAGATAGAATGACCTTTTTCAAATAAATCACTTTATTTTCCTACTCAGAACTCTCACTGTTTTCCATTAGACCTAAGATTTAAACCGGTTTATAAGGCTCTTTGTGGATGGGCCCTCTTCCACCCCTCCATCATTATCTCCTGCCATTTTCACCTCACTTATTCTGCGCTAGCCCCACTGACCTTGCTGTTGTTCCAAATTGCCTTATTTATTTATTTTTTTTTTTTTTTTGAGACGGAGTTTCGCTCTTGTTAACCCAGGCTGGAGTGCAATGGCGCGATCTCGGCTCACCGCAACCTCCGCCTCCTGGGTTCAGGCAATTCTCCTGCCTCAGCCTCCTGAGTAGCTGGGATTACAGGCACGCACCACCATGCCCAGCTGATTTTTTGTGTTTTTAGTAGAGACGGGGTTTCACCATGTTGACCAGGATGGTCTCAATCTCTTGACCTCGTGATCCACCCGCCTTGGCCTCCCAAAGTGCTGGGATTACAGGCTTGAGCCACCGCGCCCGGCTTCAAATTGCCTTTTTATACTTGCCATTTGCCTCTGCCTGGGATACTTTCCTCCAGGATTTTTACATGACTTACTTCCTTGCATTATTCAGGTTTTCAATAGCTGGCATGTCTTCAGAGAAGCTTTCCCTAACCAGTCTTAATGATGGCATACTCAATTCCTTTGTCCTGCTTTATTTTCTTCACAGTTCTTATCATTAGCTGATTGATTGTTTACTTGCTCATTTTCTGTCTCTACCTCTAGAATTTATACCCTGTAAGGGCAAAAAGGCTTCGTGTTATTCTGTGCCTTTACTGCCTTATGGTAGGCATTCAGTAAATATGTGTCAGATAAGTTGAAAGACTGAGCACTCTAAAACTGCATTCCATGAGCCCCTTCCTTTTTCGTAGTCCAGTCTTGTTTCCCTTACCCCCCGCCACCTCCCCACAGCACCATCTTGAATATTTTAATATTCAAGCCCTTAATTCTTTGTTTTCATTTCCATGTGTGGAAACTTGATACTCTGGGAGGTTTACAGGCAGCAGAAATGTGTTACAATTTCTTAAGTAATTTGTTTGATCTACCCTATTTTGCTAAGGCGATTTGTGTGGAACTTCTTCCGTCTGGAGAATGAACATCTGAATAACTGTGGTGAATTCCGTGCTGTGCGGGACATCTCTGTGGCCCCTCTGAACGCAGATGATCAGACTCTCCTAGAACAGATGATGGACCAGGATGATGGGGTACGAAACCGCCAGAAGAACCGGTCATGGAAGTACAACCAGAGCATATCCCTGCGCCGGCCTCGCCTCGCTTCTCAGTATGTATGGCTTCTGCTTTTGCGAGGCATATTTCCTTTGAGTTTTAGCGTTGGGTGACTTGTAAGCTAGGCTGTTGTAAGGTTGAACTAATGAAATTGCTCATACTCAACCACTTTTCATCTACAAAAAATGGTAATAAGCAGCAATTCCATATGATACAACCTATAGGCTGTAGATCTAAATGAGCACATAGAGTAAATGTCATCAATGCATAACCTACTAATTTGGCATTCAAGATACACTGTCTAGAGGAAAAGATTGTGGAGAGTGATTTGTTAATATTTGACTCTTCTGTATGTTTTGCATACAAATAATTTTTATGTTACAAACTTTAGGAATCCTGCCATCTATGCCTTGACCAAATTACTTAATTTCTGTATTCTGCCCCTCAACTGTTAATTGGTCTTAACATGGTTCTTGCTTGTAGGGTGGTTAAGTGGATTGTATTCGTTATTACATAGAACTTGGAACAGTTCCCTCAAAAAGAGCTTACTAAGTATAACCTATTATTTTTATCTTCTTATTAAATATGTACAGTGATTTTTTTATCAGTCATTGAGTACACATGTTGCTAAAAGTTACAGTAAATGTACAGTATATGGTGACTGCATTTGAAATTTAGAGAAAGTAGCACAGTAGATTGGAATGAAGGAGGCTTATGTTGAGGATGAGCAGTTTTCTAAAGGATAAGGGAATGAACAGACTAGAGACTACTAAGACATGAAGATGGAAATGAAGTGCAGAAAGAAAAACCATGAAACTAGAATTATAGTAAGAATCATTTTGCTGAGTAGACGAAGAATGATTGTACAAGGCTGAAAAATATAAGCTTGATCTTGTAGGCAGGAAAGAGTCACAGAGAATTTTTTCGTAGAGGAATGACATTGTGAAAGTCATATCCTAGGACATTTTTGTGGCACTGTGTAAGATATTTTAGGCAAGGGAAAACTGAAGGCCAGAAATCCAGATGAAAAATTATGCAGTAGTTTGTGGGACAGTGAATATTCAGGTCAGGATGCTTACAGCTGGAGCTAAAGGAATGTAAGATGTTTTGAAGGAAGTAAGAAACAGAAGGTGGTACCCGTAACTCATTGGATACAGGAGAGTAGAGTGGAACTTGCTGAGCTTTAGATAGCGATTTGGAAGTTCTCTGAAGAAGGTAGAGAAAAGCCGAGAACAGGGAACTGAATCATTCCCTGGCTCAACCACGTTAGCCAGGGAACAAACACAGACCAAGAGAAAAAAAAATAAACAGAAGAGGCAGGAATAGTCAGGGAAGTCAGTAGGAGGAGCATCAAAACGAAAGCATGTTTGGTACTGTGATCCCAAGGAAGCAGTGTTTGAAGGAGCTGGAGCAGGGGAGCACTGAGTGGATCAGTGAGATAAGTGCCACGAAAGGCTGGAAGAAAATGCCAAATGCAGTTGGCGTCTCACTGAGCTCCTGATTTTGAAGTCTAATTATCCTTGTTAGTTACCAGCAGAGGGCAATCTAAACGTACACTATTTCTGCTTCAGAAACAAGGGGCTCTTTGGCAATAGATTATCATGTTCTTTCAGGTGTTTAGTGGAAGAACACTGGGCAACCAGATTGCAGCGAGAGGAAGATGTTAGGAATGGATCCATTGAAAAGCAGCGGAGAGAGCAGGAATCTAAAATCCGATCTGAATTTGAGTACTGACTTTATTACTCCTGCAACCTTTAGCATATCCTTAATGTGTGTTTTTATGTTTTTGTTTTTTTTTTTTTGAAACAATCTTTCAGTCTATTGCCCAGGCTGGATCAGTGCAGCAGTCTAATAATGACTCACTGCAGCCTTGACCTCCAGGGTTCAAGCACTCCTCCCACCTCAGCCTCCCAAGTAGCTGGGACTATAGGCCTGCACCACCATCCGCAGCTAATGTTTTATTTTTTGTAGAGACAGGATCTTACTATGTTGACCTGGCTGGCCTCAAACTCCTAGCCTCAAGAAATCGTCCCTCCTTGGCCTTCCAAACTGCTGAGATTATAGGCATGAGCCACCACACCCAGCGACCTGATTTTATTTTTGGTATTTATAGTAGTAGATAGTTTATGTTGGGCTGAAATATGCTTCACTGTAATTTCACTATAACAACCATTTGAATCCTAGCTGGGCTCTCTCACATAACTTATAATGAGTCTCCTTTCTCTTCTGAGTTACATGTTGTCAACTATTTGAAGAGAAACAACCGTTATGCCTCTCCTTACATTTTCTCTTCTGCTGGCTAACTCTTTTAGTTTCTTATATATGCCTCAAATGGTGTTATATCTGTCATCCTCACCATCCTTATCACAATTCCTTATATTTGTTTTGTAGTGTTTTGTTTTGTTTTAAGACAATGTCTCAGTCTGTCACCTAGGCTGGAGTGCAGTGTTGTAATCATAGCTTACTACAGCCTTGAACTCCTGGGCTAAAGCAATTCTCCTGCCTCAGCTTCCTGAGTAGCTGGGCCTACAGATGTGCACTACCATACCTGGCTTTTTTTTTTTTTTTTTTTTTTTTTTTTTTTAATAGGGTCTTGCTATGATGCCCAGATTGGTCTCAAACTCCTGGGATAAGGCAATCCTCTTACGTCAGCCTCCCAAGGAGGTGGGATTACAGAAACCAGCCAGTTTCTTATATTTGTTCAATGCTGTTTTTATCCACTTTCTCACTTGATGTGCACATGATCTCTGAGAGGTGAACCTGGCATTAAGTGAAATTGGTATTATCATTTCTGCCTTACAGAGATGGACATAGCCACTCAGAGGGTTCAACAGATGCAGCATAAAATCAGTCACTACTCAAACTCAGATCTTCTTATTCCAGATCGCTACCTTCTGCCTTACACATATCCTGCCATTGTTCTTATACCTTCCTCTGGTTGCCATTTGGTTTCTTAGAAAACACTAAGAAACTAGATGATTGGAAAAACATCCAATAATATCTCAAATTAAATAGGACACTCTAGAATAATTTGGTACAGGAGGTAATCCCTGTTTAGGATGTATGTTTAACGATGGTAAGACTAGAAATGTGTCTACTACTGTGAAAGTGTTTGTATTTGAGTAACGGACTAAGTGCTTTTTGTACCCCTTGTTACCACTAGATCCAAGGCTCGTGACACTAAAGTATTGATAGAAGACACAGATGATGAAGCTAACACTTGAAATTTCTGAAGTCTAGATTAATGTTTGGTTTTCCTACTCTACAATCCTTTCCTCGACCAACGCAACCTCTAGTACCTTTCCAGCCGAAAACAGGAGAAAACACGTAACACATTTTCCGAGCTCTTCCGGATCGGATCCTATGGACTCCAAACAAGCTCACTGTGTTTCTTTTCTTTTCTTCTGGTTTAATTTTAATTTTGTATTTTTAAAACAAATATTTACTTCATTTGCCAATCAGAGGACGTTTTAAGGAACAAAACATAGTATCTTATGGATTGTTTACAATCACAAGGACATAGATACCTATCAGGATGAAGAACAGGCATTGCAAGGACCCTCTGATGGGATGGTACTGAGATATCTCGGCTTCCGCTAGGCCCGGTTTTGACTGGTTGAAACCGGACATTGGTTTTTAAATTTTTTGTCAGTTTATGTGGAGAATTTTTTTCTTTCCTTCATACCCAGCGCAAAGGCACTGGCCGCACTTGCAGGAAAAGTGCAACTTAAAGCAGTACCTTCATTCATGAAGCTACTTTTTAATTTGATGTAACTTTTCTTATTTTGGGGAGGGTTGCTGGGTGGGTGGGAAATATGATGTTATTTGTTACACATAGTTTTCTCATTATTTATGAAACTTAACCATAAGAGAATGATAGAACTCCTGTGCAATGAAGGTAATAACAGTAAAAGAAGGCAGGGGAAACTTAATGTTGGATGACATTTGTGAGGGTCAGTCCCACATACCTCTTTCAGGAGACAACTTGCACCAGTTTGACCTTTTCTTTCCTTTATTTTTATTTTAAGCCAAAGTTTCATTGCTAACTTCTTAAGTTGCTGCTGCTTTAGAGTCCTGAGCATATCTCTCATAGCAAGGAATCACCACACTTCCACACCACTGACTGAATTTCATAGAAGTTCTGATACTTTTTTTAACTTTTTAAGGAACAGATGTGGAATATACTTGCCCATGTTTCAACCTTAACAGCTAAAGCTATGCCTTATTATGCATTGGCATCTATGGTCACTGTAGCGTGACCTTTCCTGGCTCTGAATTAGAAGACAGAGCTATTTCAGAGGCTCTCTGTGCCCTCAATAGATAGTTTTTCTTCTAGGTTCAACCACTTTAGCCAGAATTTGATCAAATTAAAACTCTGTCATGGGGAAACTGTATTTTTGAGCGCATGGAACAAATTATCTTTCCTCATGCACATTATGTTGATACAAAAGACCTTGGCAGCCATTTCTCACAGCAGTTTTAAAGGATGAACATTGGATTTGATGCCATCCCATGATAGAAAACCTGCTTTAAAATTTTAGGGATCTAAAGTTAGTCATACATAAAAAGTATATGCTTAGAAATTATAGACTGTTATGATCTGTCCACAGTGCCCGTTGTCACTTCTTTGTCTCATTTCTTCCCTTTGTTCCTTAGTCATCCAAATAAGCCTGAAAACCATAAGAGATACCACTTTATTGAATATGGTTGGCATTAAATTTAGCATTTCATTATCTAAGGGAATTAATATAAATTCTAGGACATGGTAAAATGTGTTTTAATAACCCCCAGACCCAGGTGAAATTTCCAAAGTCAATACCAGCAGATTCATGAAAGTAAATTTAATTCTGTAATTTTCAGCTTAATTATTAAAAAAAAAAAAAAAAGGAACAATACGTGGAAGGCCAGCTATTACCATTTGCTTAGTCTTAAAAACATATGGTTACTGCCCTTTATACACTCATATCATCAGCACTTCTCCAGTAAGATTAAAGTTACTTTTACTAGAAAATTTTAATCAATTAACTGACAGGTAGTTTCTTTTTAAAGCAGTTTCTTCTTAAAGCAGTTTCTTCCATCTTTATTCTGACTAGCTTCCAAAATTTGTTCCCCTTCTGAATCGAGTTTTTGTTTTGTTCTGTTTTGTTTTTTTTTTTTTTTTCTAAAAAATCATACAACTTTGTGCTTCTATTGCTTTTTTGTGTTTTGTCAAGCATGTCCCTTGACCCAAAGTGGAAGAGGAAATGTTTAATTAATGTTTTTTTAGTTTAAATAAATTGAATCATATATAATAATCAGTGTTAACAATTTAGTGACCCTTGATAGATTAAAGGTTGCATTATTTATACTTGGGATTTTTTCCCCCTAACTATTCTGTTTTTTGTACTTTATGGGGGAAATATCACTGGTCTATCAAGAAACAGCAGTAATTATTAGAGTTAAATTGAAAAGTCCCGTGGACCAGGCATTTCTTGTACAAATAAAATTGGTGGTACTAATGTGTATCCAGAGCCATTTGAATTGTTAACTTTATTCCCTCAGTAAATCTCTGATGGCACGCATAGAATCTTACAGTTGACTTCTGCTATTTGAATTCCCCAGTGTTTTTATGTTAATGTATCCTATGGCCAGTTTAGTTTTTCTTCAACTGTTATTCTAGGCCCTAATTAGTCTTATTTATTCACATATGATGCAACGACAAAATGTAATCCTTTTCTGAAGTGTTTGTCGGATTCGCATAGTCTGTTCAAAAATAAGGCTTGTGTAACTTTCAGCTGGCTCTGAGGCTTAAGTGTGTATTTAAATACACAGCTTTATATTCCTCTTAAAGCTGTAAAGAGAAAAGAGGGCTCTTCCTCATTAAGAGAGCTTGGGAGACAAAGCATACATTTAATTTGTTTCTTTCCAAAAAGGCAATCTTTACTTTCTTCTCCTAAATTTCATATGCTGTGTCCACCCTACATTCTTTTTGGAGGCGCCCATGCACTGAAACTCTTAATAGAACTCTTAAAAATGCATATCACAGGCTCATTTTAAAGGAGCAGCAACCTAACCACAGTTAGAACTTCATTTGATTTTAGGTTTAGAAATTCTAGTTTTATTTTGGAGAATCACTCAGTTTTTAATATCAGTTAAAATACTCCTCAAAGGAATGAAAAGGAAATCTAAGTAAAAGAATAACACTTGTTTTTCATTTTATGATAGTATAGAAAGCACTGACATTTATAGAGAAGAAAAAAGTGGTTTACTGTCTATGCACAAATGAGTGCCTATATTTAAGGCTGTCTATACCATTACAGTGGCATAATTGGTGATTTTATAGCATACAGAGAAACAATGAAATCAAAGATTAAATCACTATTAATTAGGTTGTGATGGTCATTTGTAAGATCGGAAAGTAGTCGAAAACCCACCTGCAACTTTTTTTCAGCACTCCACCATTAGGCTCCTTAGGCAAGCTGCTTAACTTCAGTCAGAAGCAGTGATGTGGGAGAAGGCCATTCACTTCAGTAGTAACTTACAAAAACCATTTAAAGAAGGAAAATGGGCCCCAGCCCCTAGGATCCCTGACTTCCTGATAGTCTAAATGTGAGAATTCTGCGACTTTAACTGAGCTTTTACCAGAAGTAACTTGTGGATATATAGCGTCTTTCCACCATGCTTTGACCCACTAGACCAACAGTAACTAGATAAAGCAGTTCATCCGTTTCTGGATAGGTGAGTGAACTAGAGCAAGGAAAGAAGAGGAAAAAAATAAAGCAGTACTGAATCATACAGGTATCAGATTAGCAGACATTTGTTCAAGAGAAGTAAAATAATTTTGGAGATAGCAGAGAAGAGCAAGAAGATGTTGGATGTTGGCAGTAAGCCACAGCAAGATAGGAAAGTAGGGGAGCCTGATAACACAAAGGTGATGCCTCCATCTTTCTGCTCAGTGGTTATTAAATTGTTGAGAAAGACCTGCCTTTATTTTCCTATCTTTTTTCCCCATTACTTTGCATTATTCAGGAAATAGTTCTTTATTCTCAAATGCAATTTTCTAAACAGTGACTATAAAAATTTCTTATTCTGGCCGGGCGCGGTGGCTCAAGCCTGTAATCCCAGCACTTTGGGAGGCCGAGGCGGGTGGATCACGAGGTCGAGAGATCGAGACCATCCTGGTCAACACGGTGAAACCCCGTCTCTACTAAAAATACAAAAAATTAGCTGGGCATGGTGGCGCGTGCCTGTAATCCCAGCTACTCAGGAGGCTGAAGCAGGAGAATTGCCTGAACCTGGAAGGCGGAGGTTGCGGTGAGCCGAGATCGCGCCATTGCACTCCAGCCTGGGTAACAAGAGCAAAACTCCGTCTCAAAAAAAAAAAAAAAAAAAAAAAAATTCTTATTCTAAGGAAAATAATTAAGACAATAACCCTATCTGTGGCATTATTTTAAAATGTCAGATTCTCTGAAAGATTGTATTTACCTGGTAAGCAGATTTCAGGTTAATGTCGTTTCCTTTTAATGGTTTACATGAAATTTTCCTCTCAACAAGTACTTCTTACTGTATAACTTTCGAGTTTTTTAAATTGAGATAGCTTCTGAAAGTAAAAATCATGTTGAATTTGTAGCTCCCTCAACTACAAAATCACCATACTTTTCTCAAATCTAATAGGAAATTCAGTGTCATTACAGCTAAGATCTATAATGACCAGGTGAAGACAATTGAAGCTTTGGTAGAACTTCTGCAAAAGTTAGAAGAATAAATCCAATTTTTCAGCTTAGTTCATTTTCTTTTTCTGAGTGATCTAAATTTTTCTTGCTTGTGATCATTAGCTAAGACAAGGAAAGTTAACGATTTTCTAAATTACAAACATAGGTTTCTGCATTTCAGAAATCAGTCTTGATAGTAAATCTTACAAGCTCCCAACTTTCTGCGTTGTATTTTAAGTCTATACAATGTTAGAGCACATTAGGTAATGTGGGACAGAGTTGATTATATGATAGCATGATAAATTTGCACTGGTTGGTGTTCCAAACCAATGATTTAACCAGCATTAACCAAACTCGACTCACCAAATAAGAAAAAGTAAAAATGTCTCATGAGTTTTGGAAAAGCTTAAATTAGTCCATGCAGGAAGTTTGCCTAAGAACAGAGAGGAGCCTGTTGATTGGCATGGCTCATGATGCCTTTCTTGTATGAATTATCAGAACTTGTGATATTGTGTTGCCCCCAGAAAACAGCCTTCCAGAATATATTTGCTTATTTATGGTGGAAGAGGAAGTGAGAAGAACAAGATGAGAGTTTCCCTTAAAGTGAAGAAAATCATTATACTAATTTGCAACCGAAGTAATTTTCCTTGTTGCAAACCGTTGGTTTATTTTATCCAATCAAAGCCACCTTCAGCTTTTTGTATGGTGCCATCAACCTAAGGAGGACAATCAACCTGTTGTTTGCCTTGGATTCACTATATCTGCTAAGTACACAATCTCATCTTGTATACCTTCAAACCAGTTACTTGACTAAACTTCCACCATAATACCTTAGTTCTTCCTATGCCCTTTCCTGTGTGCCACCACAAGTCAGAGGTAAAGACTGCAATAGTTCTAGAGTGGACTTTTAAGAAAGAGCCCGGCTTCTATCTCACTATCCCTTGGTCATTATCTCTGAAGTCCCTACCTGCACTTCCCTGATTGCCCTGTAGCAACACCAGCATGGTGGGAATCAGGGGAAAGATTGTGGAAAATTCCTAAAGGATAATTAATTGTTCATGATGTTGTTGTTACTTTGAATTGTAAAGTAAAATTGTGAGCCACTCACATTTCAGTTGCAAAAAACGGAACTCTTAAACTTTATCATGTTGTGAAGATTAATTTCTTGCCATTTTCTGGATTAGCACAGAAGCTTGTATCAATGAAGAGTATTTAGGAGGGGAATAGGGTGAAAATCGTATTTTTCTGTTCAAACCCTCTCCTTCTATTTGTGTTTCCTTCACCCGTCTCCCTCCACCACACTGTGTTGGTCAAATGATACTATTCTATGAAACCCTGAGCTATAGCTGTCAAAAAGTAACGATGGATTGTGATTAGTCCTCTGTGGGTGCTTCTTCCCCTCTTTTTTCTCCCTTTCTCTCTTTTTCAGTCTCCACTCTGGTAAATGGAAAAGGTGACGTCGAAGAATCGATGCTTGCTTGGACTCATGTTGTATCCGTGACTATGCTATTAGCTGTCTCCTTTTTCCTTCCTATATGGGTAGAATTCTTATGACTTATGAAGTTCCCTTCATGATAAGTAGGTTAAATGCACAATGTGGTACTGTTTTATAGTTTCTAGATGGTTGTATAAAGCAAAAAGTTAATGTGGTTATGTGTTTTTAAAAGAAAATAAGTGATTGGTTACTAAACTCTGTCCTTTTTTCATTATTACAAGTTCTCTCTGTTTTCCAACAGTTTGCTGACTCCTTTGTTACTGGTGAATGGTTTGTGTGACTGTGTTTTTCTCTCTGGGTTTCTTGAATTCCTGAACATAGTTCCCCTTAGGACTAACTTTTATATGGGGTTAAGGCAGACAGACTATAGTGGTGAAATTTTTAAACTATCCTACTAAGTTAAAAAAAAAATATATTGAATGGCCTTTTTTCTTCCAGTAATATATGAAGTGTGACTCTAAAGCAGTGAGATTGATGCAACAAATCTTTCTTTCACTCACACAAAGAATCTCAAATATTACAAATATGAGGTGAAATGATGTGTCCAATTACATGTTGGAGAGCTGGACACTGCTGTCACTGCATACCTGTGCTCTGTGAGGAAACAGAGCACTTTCTGCAGAATTCCTGGACCAATTATTATTATTCTTTATATATGTCTAGGAAAAGTTATAAAATTAACTGACCCTAAGATGAATATACCCACAATGCAAAGAGAAAAATAATGTATTCACTAAGGCATCAAAGCCTTTTCATCTTATTTTAGTGCCACAAACTCTGTTATTACTGTATTTCTGTGTAGGCTAAATCAGAATATGATAATGTGGAGTTTCCAGGCCAAAGTCAAGATAGGATATGAGTATAAAAGAATCACTAAATATTCACCGCTTTTTCAATTTGATAACATATTCAACATTTGTATGCCTATGTTGTTTTATATTTTTCCAACTATGTAGCATCTCAGAAATATGTAGATGAGTGAATTATGTTGAGGAAGAGACAAAGGCCTATCTAGAGCAGCAGAGTGTGCAATCCCAGATGGTTCTAGGAGGTCACTCTCTCTTTATCCATCCTAGACATATCCAGAAGAATCCTTCGAGTTTTAGTTGCCTGTATCTTCATATGGATAATTTTTATTAGCTATTTTTTAAGGTTATGGGAATAAGGACCAATTTTATACTTTGTTTTTTGAGAGATGGGGTCTTTTTCTATGCTGCCCAGGCTGGCCTCGAACTCCTGGGCACAAGTCATCCCAAAGGGCTGGGAGGACAGGCATGCACCACCGTGCCTGGCTTACACTTTCAGATTCATTTCTTTTTCTAGTGTCCCACCATTTCCCTTAGAAGAATTGTGGACTTCTTGCATTCTTAAAAATTAGTATGTGTTTATTGAGTATGTGCGAATCCTATCATATGCTAGGCATTATTTTAATACTTAGTTTTAGTTGAAGTTGACTTTATTATCCTTAGTTTTATGGAGACAAGAAGGGAAAGGTGATGCAATTAATTTCTAAACTACATACTTACCTGAAACCACTGTCAGAAAAGCCAGACTGTCCTCGTTCTAGGTGTCACTGCCTCAGGGTAAGCTGGATTTGCCATCTCACGTTTGAGATGACTCTTTACGCCTTCCCAGGCAGATACTAAAACCTCCAGTTCTGTTTTTTTTCTTTAAAAAAATTAAAAGTATCAGATCTGTCAAGAGTTGTTTCTTCAGAATCTTCTATTGCCAAAAACCGTCCTCATAATCCATCTTATTCACTTACTTTGTCACTAACACACAGCACCAAAGTTCAACCAATGTTTACCTTTGTGAAATGAAATTTTCCCCTTTAGT